TGGCTGGAGTGTTACATAGTAAGACATACAATCACTAATATGTGTGCTGAATAATAGATCTTTAAAATATACAAAGAAGCAATTGAGAGAATTAAAGGGAGAAATAGAAATTCTACATTCACAATTAGGGATCTTTACACCCTCTGTCAGCAGTTAAAAGAACAAAAACTTACACACAATTGAAAGACCACAAACACTCAGTAAAAATAAAGATTATCTGAAAAACAGTCATCTTGACATAATTGATATTTATAGAACACTCTATCATATAATTATAGAATAGACATTTTTTTTCTCATGTACATGGTACATTTACCAAAATAGACCAAATTTTCCAAGAATAGGACCCTGCTCAAACTCATACCTCATCTGCAGATGGCCTCGTCACCACAACCAAGTACATTTGGTAAGGACATTAACTTTGATGATGACATTGACTTGCTTACAAATGTTCCATAGCTTTCCATTCCCTCCAAGGTTAATTTAAAGTTCTTCAGGCTGACAAAGTACTGCATAACGTGGCTGTCATTTTTCACCCACCATTGCATCATCATAACACTCCATTCCCTATAACATTTTTTGGCCATAGTTGATATGAGCTCTGTAATATCTGTCAGCATACATTGCACATTTGACTGCAAATCTTCTTGCATTGCTTTCCCACCACATTTCATACCCACTCTCACATCTTCGCTCAGGATTGTCTGCATCCTCCAAAGTTCAGCTCAATTATCTTTTCTTTCATGGCATCTCCTCTGATCACTGAGGCTGGAGGTTCTCTCTCTCTTTACTGAGCTCCACTGAATTGAGCTCCTGTCACCTGTTGCAGGCTGGTGCTATTGGCTGATTCTTAATAAAATGACTTGACCTTGAGGAGAAGGGACATTTGGACCATGGCTAGTTGCAGTCAAAAGCAGAAGTTTGGGCAAGCATGGAACAGGCAGGCAAAGAGACAGTCATTTCCCAGTTCACCCAATCTGTACGACTTGACATTAAGAAATTAGTCTTGCTCTAAAATTTGCAAGAAGTAAGTCCCTGAAGAGGATGTGGATAGTTCGCTTTTGAAATATCTCAAATTGCCTGTACATAACTCTAAAGCAAATGTTAACTGTGCCTCTGAAATGCCATGTGAAGAACTTGGCTTCTTTGTCTCCAGGAAGACCCTTCTTTATTAAATAACCAATGAAAACTGGCAAAGTTATTGATCACCTAGTAAATACAAGAAACTGAGATACATGTACAATTGATGACTTTTGAAAAGTAAGGACTTAGTCTGGAGCAAGAGCCAAGAGGCTGTTCAAAGTGCAAAAGTTCTTGGCACTCTATGCCATAGCTTTGGGAAGGAGATAAGGGAATTATTTGCTTCTACCAGTCTCAGGCTTTCCAAAAGGGAAAGGAGCACAGCAGCAGTATCGCTGTGGTGGGAGATGGTTCCCCTCCCCTCGACAGGAGAACAACTCACGACAGGGAGCCTGTGGTCACGAGGCAGAGCCAAAGCAGGGGTATGTCACTTGATGTGTTGTGCACTTTGCATCTCGCAGAAAATGCCAGCTCATTGCAGACTTACCCAGTCAGCGACATTATGCCGGGGTGAAGGGTCAAGATGATTCCTAGTTGGAAGCAGTAAGGGAGTGATTTTTCCACTTGTGATTTTGGTGATTTTTTTTCTTGCCCACACTCAACTCCTCTTCCAGTGGATATTATGGACCCTCACTATTTAAAGAAATCTCAGCATCACCTGGGAATTTGCTAGAAATCTAGAATCTCAGGCTCCACCTCAGATCTACTGAAAACAGAACTTGCAAATAACAGAACTTCAGACAGTTTTTTTTTTCACATTTATGTGTGCAAGAAGCAGTGTCATAATATACACTCAGGAGCCAAATCTGGACCCAAAATAGCTGGAATAGAAAGAAACAGTTGTCTGCCTCTTAGTAAGCAAGCCTGCAAGGAAAATATCTATATAGATAAATCATGTTTATACATGTGCTTAAAGGACTAGAAATTATTAGAATTTTAGAATTTTATAGTTTTCAGTCTGCTTTTTAATGGAAACAGGTTTACTGGACACCAGATGAGAAAGAAGTTAAGTGTGGGTGTTGAGGGAACTCCTGGCTCTTGGGTGGGCTCTGCATAGGCCATTTTATGGGAATATGAGCCCAAGGGACCAAGACACTGCTCTCAACTTTCTAAGTCTGGAGTGTCCCCGTCATGAATGTTTTAGAAGAGGGTGAATTTGGTTTGAACATCTCATTAAGCATTTAAGAAGACCCACAATAGGTTCATAAATGTAAACATAATTTTAGAACAACTTTTATCTCCAAACTGATGTTTAGAAAACATTCATTCCAGAGATCTCCTAGCTGTCCCCACCCCTAACTTTCTCCTTTTTTTCTGCATCTCCCCCAAAGCACGCCCTAGATTACAGCCAGCCTCCAAACGCATAACCAGAGGAAAGCCCCGCAAACAACCTGGCTGCCAACTGCAGCTCGTGTATGGAAACCATCCGGGCAACTATGCAGGTGGTCTGGCCACTGGGTGTCACTCTTAGTCGTGCTCTTTGGCGTCAGGTTTCTGAAAAAGGTCCAGCCCGTGCTGAAGCCTCCACCTCTTCCCACAGGTTCCTCCCTGTGCTGACCCATTTCCCCTGGAAGCCTTTACTACTCACAGAGGCAGCACACGGAGCGTGAAATCACCCCACATGTGGACTTCTGACGTGCACGTGAGGAAGTCACCTGTGTATCAATCAAGGAAGCAGGGTAAGTCCAGTGTTGGTAACTAATTCTGCAGCAGCAGCTCAAAAAGCGAGCTGTCAAAATGCAGAAATATTTCATTGAGTTTATCATTCATTATTGCTAACTCCTCTCCTATGTTATTTGTCTTCTATTTTTAGTTTATGGTCTTTTATTTTTCTATAAAATTGAACATTTAGATGAAATAGAAATTAAGCCAAAGTAGAAGGATTGGGAGGAAAAACCTGAACAGATAAAACCTTTAAAGAACATAGAAATCATGTTTAAAAAAATCTTTTATTTTTATTTACCCTCTTCAGAACTTAGTGTGCTTTTTTAATCTGAAGATTCAAGTCTTCAGTTCTGGAATATTCTCCATCATTTTCCCTATAAATACTCTTTCAGTCTCTCCTTCTGGGAGTTCTATTAGATTATGTTGGTCATCTCATTCTGTCTTCCATCTTGCTTGGTCATTTCTTTGGTAATTTCCACCTTGTGTCTCCATGCTACATTTTAAGTGTTTTCTGCACATCTGTATTCAGGTCCACTAATATTTGCTCTGCTGTGTGAAATCTTTTATTTAACCTATCTAGTGAGTCCTTAATTGCAGTGCTTCTGTTTTTTGTTCTAGGAGTTATACTTGGTTAGTTGTCAAATCTGTCTGTTCCTTTTCTCTTAATGCCCTATTCTTTTATTGTGGCCCCTCATTTCTCTTCGTGCCCCACTGTTTCTGTGTGACCCATCAAGTATTTTGTTCATCAAACATTTGCTCTTCATCCTCCTGTGAGTCACCTCCCTTCTCCTCTGCAGTCTCAGACCCCTCGCCTCCTCTCCCTGGTCCTGGCTGGCACATGCCCCTTGCTCTCCCACCTCTGGAGCCCATGTCTGTGGCTTCCCTGTACGGACGTGATCGGACTTTGCTTTTTTCTCCTGTTTATGTCTTACATCAATCTGACTCTTAGGCCAGCTAGAAGAACCTCAGGGGTAGGGGAAATTCCTTCCTCCCCAAAAGTCGATTGCATTAATTTTTGCCAAAAGCAGTAACTAGGCAAATAATAATCAAGGAAACTTTATGGTTCTCCAGTTAGGAGACCAGCTCTGGACTCAGCCTGCTGGCTTCTGAATCCAGCTCCATCACCTACCTGCCAGCTGTGTGAACTGTGGAAATTTCCTCAGCTTCCCAGACCCTCAAATTCTTCACGTGTAGATGGAGATAGTGGCAGTTCCTCCCTCATTGGGTTGTTGTGTGAATTAAATGGGTAAATTCATTGAAATGCTTAGTGTAGTGCATCCATATCTGGCCCCCAATGTCTGTTAACTATTGGAGGGAAAATGGAAGTTCTGTGGCCAGGATTCTCACCTGATCCTAATCTCACCCGTTGTGTACATGGGATGTAGAGCTTAGCCTACCACGCGGGGCATACTTGTACACCTGTTGGCAATAAGCCATTATTGCCTGTGTTGCTATATAAAGAGCTCCACCCAGTGCAGGAGTGGAACCAGGAGCAGCAGAGCCTGGACGGCAGAGCAGAGGGAAGCTGGAGAGAGGAGCCGAGAGCAGAGGCTGAGATGGGCTTGCCGGGGCGGAGGTGGACATGATTCTAGTGCCTGTCCTGCCACTGTGAGGACAGAGCTTGGTATGAGCCCCTTTTAACCCCCAACATTCCATTGTCCTTATTTGGCCTCACTGAATCAGGGCAAACTTGCCCAGGGCTGAAACCCTCAGGTGAGACAGCTATAGCACTATAATCACCGCAGCCCATTGACCCGCATCCACCTGACAAGCCCGTCACTGCTTTTTCTCCTCATGCAGGCCTGCTGGACCTTCCCACAGTTTGTTCCTGTCTATTAGCATTTCCCTGCCTGGAAAGTGTGGCAGCTCTGCTGCCATGGGGATTTCAGGGCATGGTCCTTCCTCTGGGCCAGTTACCGACGCTAAGTGAGGTCGGCCTGCGTCCTGTTTCCGCCTCCTTGCAGAGCAGTGCTCGGGTAGGGAGCCGGAGGGGGGCAGGCCTCCTCCAGGTTGCCTCCCTTTTCAGTCTCCTGTCCCTTCTCTGCGAGTGCAGTGTGAATTTCACACTGGCGCTTCATTTCTCAGGCTTGTGAGGATCTGAGTGGAAGTGCTTTCAAAGCAGCATAAATTCATAGATAAAGGCATATATCTTGACTCCTTTCCTTTCCATTCCAGGCTGAGATTAGCTACCCTCTTTGTGACCATTTTCCCCAATTGTGTGGACTCAGTTAAAAGAAACGCACCCAGTGCCTCCCAGCACCTCACAATTAACAAGATCTCTCTTATTTTGGAAAATCCTGGAAAATCCCTCTAATTTTCCTCATAGTCACTCTGAAAGCCCACAAGGCAGGGGTTCCATTCCCCTTTGATAGCTGAGGAACCCATCTGCTCATGTCTCAGCCTCACACTGAGGTGGGGCAGCATCAGGATTGGACGAGGGGCTCTTGCCTCTCCTTGGCGAGGGTCTTTTTTGACCTCGCCTATCTGGATGCTGAGGAATTAGGCTTTTAGGAGAAACTCTTAAACCTTGGCCCATTCAAAAGTTCTAAGTAACTTCTATTGAGAAAATAATCTTCTTTTTCCTGCGTAATTATGAGGACACGAAGAAAGGGGTCCATAGAAATAAAACGCTACCCCCACGAGGATATCCACAACAATTGGTGGCCTCCGGGAAGGGGCGAGAGGAAGCCTGGGGTTGGATTCTCCAGCGGCTTGGCTGGAGAGTCATCAGACTTATGTCTTGGCTCATTCCTCCCAAGGGCCTGGAATCCAGACCTGAGGAGCAGAGGACCTCTTTGTTTAGAAATTTGTTGTAGCTTTGTTTAGATCCCAGGAGTAGAGATTAACAACTGTCACCTGGAAACAGGAAAATATTCTTAGATGTTGGAAAACCATGTGGTAAAACCACTGGGACGCACTCGTTCTGCCTTTATCAGGGGAAAGAGGAACGCCTCTGGGCCAGCTCCCCCCGTGGCCGCCGGCCCACCTCCACCAGGGGCCTGCCCCCGCCAAGGCGCCCCTCTCCGCATGAGCTCTGATCCTCCCTCGTTGGAGATCCAGCCACAAGTCAAGTGAAACAGGCCAAGGCAGAGTTGCCATTCCCACAATGGGGGTAATTCTAACGTCAAGAGTGAAGTAGTGAGCAAATTAATGTATATAATGTGATCCTACTTAGGAATATTTATTTACTTAATGTATGTACATGTGTTAGGCAGAAAGACAGCGACGAGCAGATGGAGGGAGAGTAAGGCCGGTGAGCTCTCTAATAGGGACTCAGAGAGTTAACCGGATACACCAGAGGGCCGCAGAAGACTCAGAGTTAATGAGTTAATCAGCCGAAGTTTCAAAGGCCAGGAGTCACTTGGGATGTCGGGATATTACCCGGATAGAGAAAGTACCCGAGTGCAGCCCATGTCTTCATTGCACCAATCAGATCATAGCATTGTAAAATCCACTTAGCCTGCAAAAAAAGGCCCACTTTATTCTCCGACTTCAGCTCTGTGCTGTGCTCCCTCTTCTTCCAGCCCCTTAGTCACGTAACTCTGCGACCAGGGCAGGAGACAGAACTCCCAAGTGTTGATAAACCTATGTGGATAAAGAGTGCCGAGATCCAGACCGACACAGTCACTTAAATAACTCTATTCTTAAGACAAAACTTCAAAGGAATTATACATTATCTGTATATATTATGCTTTATTCTGACTCTTACCCAAAAGGCCCTATAAAACCCCAAACCCTAAACCCTTAAGTGCGCCTCATCTCTGAGGCTGCCTGCACTCGCCTTGCTTTGAGGGTGTCGCTGTCTCTTCTACTCCAGATAAGTAGGGAGGGGCCACTGAGAGCTCTGATTTGGGCTTGCAAGTTCCCGTTGCCTGGGTGACTAGGGTAAAATGGCAATATTTCCAGAATCTCTCACCTGACCTCCATTTACATATCAATAGGTGTTTCTTCCCGCGGCCTCTGGGCTGGGGGGTGGAGAAAGTCTTCTCTCCTCCCCTCTGCTCTGGCACCTGTCAGTTGCTGGGGATCCACCTGTGGAGTTTGGCCTGGAAGGGGCGGGGGGAGAGGCAGAGAGACGTGAGCATGAGAGTGGTGGCCAGAGGGGGAGACGGGGGCTGGACCTCATTGTGAGCAATAAACGGGGCTCTCCCAATCTAGCCTTTCCTTTGACTGATTTCGGTCACACCGGCTTATTCACCCCCTCCGGGAACACTGCTTCCCCGTCTCCAGAGCCACACTGACCCGGACAGGACTGCAGCTGTACAATTGTGCTCTTTGGAAGCCTACCTGAAAGTCTCCTTTCTTTGCCTTTGGGAAGTTCCCGGAACATAATCTCACTACATCCCGTGCTCTGCGGCTCCCCCAGATCCTGGGGTGGTCGGGGCTTACTTCCCAGGCTGTGCAGATTCAAGCGGACGCTGGACGCCAGGTGACCCTGGCTTCAGGAGCGGCGAGGGACCTGTCCCATGCCCAGCAGGAGGTCGGTGAGCTTCCTTTCCCTGCTCTCTGCTGCCTGCAAGGCCGCTGCTATTCCCTGCTATTCTCGCTTTAGAATTCCCTCCTTACCTTTCACTCTGACTTCCCTGCATCTCTGATCCAAATTCTTTCCCAACACATGTAATATATATATTTAATGTATGTACTTGTATGTATATATAATCATGTCTATAGACATGGGCACACCTATCCACGTGTCTAGAATACAGAGTGAAAGTTCTGGAAGGACACTCCGAATTGCCCATGGCTGCCTTCAGAGAGGGAACAGAGCTTTGGTTAGGGGTGGGTGGTTCGGAAGTGGGCTTGCATTTTTATTCCATATTCAGTTTGAACTTTCCCCTGCATGTATTACTAGTGTAATGACACTTTTAAGTGACCTGCCTCCAGGACTTCCCTCACCAGCCCGGAGGGGGTCCTTCTCACCCTCCACCATTATCAACACCATCTCTGAAACTCCTCTTTGCACCTTTTCCCTTCTGGCTCTGTCACCCCCTGAATCCTCCCAAATCTGCTGGAC